ACTTTTTTTTCTGACTTGGTTAACAAAAACATCAATCTTTAAAGCTAATTCAGAGATGTAGCCTAAAGCTAAATAGCCTATACAATTTCTCATGAATCCGGCTATAATATACAATAAGAAATTTTCAAATCGGACTGGTATATCCAGAAATTAGTGTGTTTAAATAAACAAATTACAAAAAAACATATTATATATTAAAAGTAAATTTCAAAATTCTGATGCAAAACTTTAACTTTTTTAACGTTAAATTTGGGTAAGTAAAGTTGAACCTTATATTCAATGTAAATAAATTTACACTGTGAAGTATAGGGTACAACTTTACTATATCATATCGTCACGTGGGTGTCGTTATTAGGCTAAAGGGTAGGCCTCTATTTAGGAGTGGAAATAGTAGGCTGTAAGGCATTAAAAAAATGTTGGACATCTGTTTGTTTTAGCATTATGTAGTTCAAATATTTTTCTAGTCCTAAAAATGAAACCAAAAATAACTCAATTTGATTAGGTGATCACAAATATACTAACTTAAGGACTTCAAGGTCATTCCAGAGAGTTCGTTTATTAAACAGAGTTAAGATTAACGCAGAGAGCTTACCAGAGAAAGCGAATTCACCCCCATCCTCAGCCTTTCCTTTCGTAACTCCTCAGACAGAGGGCACCCTGCGCGTGACGCCGACAGATAAGCTAATTACTTATTGTGATTAAGCAACCGGTTCTCGGAAAAATTTTCAGAAAATTTTTAGATAGAAATTGTGAATAATGAGTTGACGTCGTCTACCACAATAGGAGTTATTAACCGGACAATTTAACGTTAAAATTGTGAATTTAACGTAGAAATTGCGGAGTGTGAAGGTAGAACAGATCGTGCGGTAAAATTAATGTAAAGAAAGAAAGGTTAGTACATAATTATTTTTAACCTTTCGGGAAAAAATAACTGACTTGATTGATGATCTTGATTGATTCTAAGCAAAATATTTTATAGTATTAAGGTGACGAGAGAGCTAGTAAATTTGTTATTATTGGTTTCCTGTAGACCTGTAACCAAACAAAATACGAAAACGAATACATTTAAGCTTACGAGAACATTCTAAGGAAGATTACAAGGCATAAAAAGAGTCTCACCATCTTGTTATACTATGGAGAACAGATTTTATCAAAAATATCAAAGTAATGTTTGCGGCAGCGCCATGTAACAAACCCACTTTGCTTTAATATGGTCGAGTAGGGCAATGGTTACCACATGCTAGTTAACGCGTCGTTCAATATGTGCATAGGTTTTATACGTGGTAGAGCCATGCTGTAGTTATATCTGTGAGAGCGTGGTCCTTCCCCGGTCGGCTTGACCGTAGAAGGACCACGCTCTCACAGAATACCAGCGTAAAATAGTAGCTTAATGCTGCTGTGTTTCGTATGGTGAATGTAGAGAACCGGAGACCCTTTTTACTGGAAACGAGGTATTCCATCTTAGTCCTCACTGGTGACAACGCATCTGTATTTCGATTTGTAATCGAATATTATCGATATGTAATCGATTTCTGTGGACCGCAGCGGCAGACTTATAGTAAGTTTGTTCATTCACTGATATTTATAAAACATTTACAAGAAAAAGAAACCAAAAATAAAAAAGAATAGTTATACTTAAGGTTAAACTACCTATGAGAAACAAACAAATAGATTGTATATCTGAAATGAAAACCAAACATTTGTTTTTTGAATTATAGGAAACAGTCTTAACAATAGACAAATAGTTATGAATACATCAAATAGTTATTATAACAACAATACTCGTATCTAGTTTTGTGTTAATCGGAATTCGGATGTGAGCATAGACAATGTAAATACGACAATAGGAGTCGGAGTTAGGTACTGGCTGTAAGTCGTATCGGTAGCGTGCCACCCGTGAGATAACTGAGTATACCGTCTTTACATAAGGTTCTTAAAATATGAACAATTGAAAGCTTAAGATAACGATTTAAATTGAGTTATATTACTTTTCCTTTCATTTTAAATGGTTTCAAATTAAAGTAATTACTTGGAAAGCAACTTTTTTGTATGAAAGAACAAGCAAACGAGCATACGGCTCACTTGATAGTAAATGAGAAGGTACGTTTCTTGAAGGCCCTATGTTGTATCCGTCCGGATAAACCACGTCGACAGTAAATTCCATAGTGTAGACGTACGTGGCAGAAAATTTTGCGTGAATAACACGTGGACCGCCCACCATCGAGATGATGAGGTTAAACTTTCGTGTGATCTGTCACAGTGTAAAAGTAAAAAAAAGGAAAGTTACAGCCTATATACGTCCCACTGCTGGGCTCAGGCCTCCCCTCATTTCTGAGAGGGTTTAGGGCAAGGAAGTGTCCACCGCGCTGCCCCAATGTGTGTTGGCGAACTTCACATGTCTTCGAAATATTTTTTTTAATTCCTCAGACATGCAGGTTTCCTCACGATGTTTTCCTTCACCGACGAGCACGTGGTAAATCAGCACTTAAAATTGCAATTAACAATTTCATTGGTGCCGGTGAGGATCGAACCCGGGTTACTCGCGTTCTGTTACATTTACAGCGAGAACCATTTGAGCTACCACGGCTCAAATGGTTCTCGCTGTAAATGTAACAGAACGATGGCACAGTGTACGGTGGTGAAATTTAGCAGCTTGCTAAAATATTATAGGCATTGTATACATTTGTAGTTTGTCAAGAAATTATCTCTAATGAAATAAATATGTATGTCTTATTTGTTTCCAATTAATTTACCATTTTTCCCTAGTAATTATTTCTGTAATAATGAAATAAGTCACTAATTTATTTTATTAGATATCAAGTGAAACCTCCTTGTTTTATATTTGTTGTACCTTTTTTGTTAATATTTTGTTTTATTTATGTCAAAAAGTAATAAAAAATCTTATTTTTAAAAGTTTACCACAGAATTAAAACCATTTGGTTTGATTATTAGTATAAATTCTTCGAAATCCCTTGGAGGCAATCCAGTAAATCTCAATTTGTCGCAACTAAAACAGGTCACGGCGGAAGGCTATTACGCTTCCTAAATGCTGCCGAACTCCCTATAGAGCACTCTAATCCACTCCGAACGGGCTGGTGTCAAACGCAGGGTAGGGTTGTTTGTATTGTTTATTGTCGCAACGGTCGTTTGAACGGCAAAGATGCCACCGGAGGCACAGTGAACGATCGAGGATCGGTTAAACAACACTTCGATTTAATAAGCAATTAAATTTTGGAAGCACGAGTAAATTGAACACACACTTGTACAATATTGTTTTAAAATTTAGTATTACCATAAGCCACAGAACATATATTTTTTTTGACAGGCCTGTTGGTCTAGTGGTTAGTGGAAACATTTAGTTAGTAGAAACATTTAGCAGTCAGGGTCAAGTGACCCTGACTGCTAAATGTTTGTGTGATGAGCACGATCATTTGTTCTGTGTCTGGGTGTAATTTATCTATAATATTTATGTATTTAGAAATATATAAGTATGTTTATCAGTTGTCTAGTACCCATAACACAAGCTCTGCTTAGCTTGGGACTAGATGGCGTTGTGTGATTGTTGTGGAATATTATTATTATTATTATTTGAATATTGATGGGTTACAAACTTTTTACAATTGTGAATAGTGCATCATAAAAATAGAAAAAATCCATCCAAATAGATAGTAACTATCTTCAAATCATAATTGAGTCATTTCTTCTTAATCTGATCTAAAGATTATACTTTTACCTCACTTTACCGTTTTTATCGCCACATTTTTTACTGTTCAGGTTTAACTTTTCTGTGGTTCCTTAGATGTAGTTATATGTTTGGCCATTTGTGTAGTACCACACCCTCGTAACAATTTCTGTTAAATGGGTACTTTAGCATAGATTTCTCAACATATCACGTTAAAATATCTGTACAAATGAGCCTTAATTGGAATCATCAGTTATTTGAGTACATACGCATAATAGATTTTGATCTTAAATTGCCTATTTATATCATGATTTCATTTGCTAATTCAACGCTAATTGTATTGAAATATATCGTATTACCATATAACTATATAGTATTACGACTTAGCTCTTACTTTGTAAAATGTATTGATTAGCGGGAAACTAAGTTATAATTGAAGTCAGGTATATATTATTTTACTTTAAGATATTAGATTTTTTTTATAGGATAGGGTGACAAACGAGCCCACAGTCTACCTGATGGTAAGTGGTTGCTGTGGCCCATAGACATCTACATCTATCTTCGATTACGAATCAAAATTCGAATACGTTGTGAACCGTGAGGAATAAGATGGAGTGCCTCGTTTCTAGTAAAAGGGGTCTCCAGTTCTCTACACTCACCATACGAAACACGGCAGCGTTAAGCTACTATTATACGCTGGTATTCTGTGAGATGGTGCTCCTTCCCCCGGTCGAGCCGACCCATTCGTGCTACAACTATACTACTAATATAACTGCAGCATGGCTCTACCACATATAATACTACCACAGAAATTTCAGAATAAACACACCTTTAAAATGTATAGCGTCAGAGCAGCAATCTTTCCTATTTTATCTCAGTTTGCTCACGCTACGCCACGAAAACTGTTGTAATAAAAATCTACGATACTTTGTATGTAGATACGTCAGGAGTACTATGTATATCTGAATGCATCTATATGCAACTTAATTTTAAAGAGACAGATATCGAGAACCGAATATTTACTTCTTAAAATATTTTATTTTCATACCTTATAAATGTGCAGACAGCACCCAATAGGGAAGTTAGATATAATCTTTAATATATTTTTAATAATAAAATTTTCGCAATCCTTTGTTACAGATAAAGTTTTGGAGTTAACAAGGTGGAATAAGAGGCCATATTCAAATACTGAATTTTTGTGACAGAATATGACATTTGCCTATAGCGATAGGCTTTTAAACAACGACGAGGGTGTTTATACATAATATGAACGAATAACAACTTCTACAGAATAAAACAAATGTTTACGAAGATAAAGATGACTGAATTATCTAGATGTACAAAAGCAGTTTCCATGGAGACTGGGGGATTACCGTTAGTGTCTACTTTTGCGCTACTGACTATAGTAGCAGGTAAGTAATAAAATAATAGTTTAGTATGTCTTTTATAATCTATGATTTGTTTTTGCTTTTCTGGATGATCGGAAATTTGTCAAATATTGTTCAAATTTGTCAATGGCGCAGAACTGTGTTTATCTGTATCATCTGAATGCTGTCTTTTAATGTATCCTTATTCGATATTCGCGATGAGATCAGAGGTAGCTTCGCCGTATACAGTATCTGAGACATAAGAATTCATTTATGCAGACCATGACTATTTCGTTCTACTTTGGCCAGATGTCCTTCTTTATTTTATTTTATATTAAATATCAAAAACTGGTAATAGAGAGTAACATTACTAGAGTGAAGGCTTCGGTTCTGCTTTCACTAATTATTTTATCTACCATGCAGAGCTCATAAGAAAAACTTATTAAAGAAATGCATGCCTGATATAAAATTCTCGAAGAAGCTTATGTTCAGTAGAGCATTTAAAAATGCAAACGAATATTTTCGCTTTATTTGAATTGCACCGTCATGCAAAAATATTATCTCCAAGTAGATTTTAATTTAAGGACACTGCCTCCATAATCCACTGGTCGAAAACGCTATTGCTGATCATAAGGTCATGGGTTCGAATTCTGCGTTGGACCAAAATCAATTACTGGGTTTTTCTTTCAATAAGTTCTCAGTAGCAGCCCGGAGTCAGGAAGTATACACACACACACACACACACACACACACACACACACACACACACACAACCCATACACACACACACACACACAAACACACATACACACACACACACACACACACACACACACACACACACACACACACACACACGTGCGAGCGCGCGCGCGCAAAAGTGCCTGCGCTTACGTATAAATTATAGTCAACCAAATCTAAGAAATACCTTTTGACATCTGTCAGACTTTTTACACAAAGCATGCCAACCAAGACAATGGGAACGTACAATATTCGATTCTTAAAAAAATCGATATCGATTATTTAGAGTTGGTAATCATTTACAGTTTGGTTTGAAGAATACCAGAATAAATAAGAAACGGATAATTTAAAACACAAGATTTATCAATTTCTTCGTTTTTGTTGTTACTGCTTATTTCTAGAGGCACAGTTATAAAAATTTTAAATTGAAACTAGATTAAAAATAAATTTATTGAATCATTTGATTTTCAATAATGCAGTCAATATTAATGTCTCTTTCGAAGTCATCCATAATCAAATTTTTTTATTTAATTTTTTCTTCTAATTATTTCTACCTATTTTGCCCAATCATCCTTTGTGACGACTTCAACGAATATAGAAGAAACAGTTCAAAAAGATAAAGCCGAGTCATAAAATAAGAAGACAAACACAGAATCACAAAATTACGCACAGTAAGCTAAAAATAGTTGTTTTCATCATCATGAATGATTCATATAATATAAGGAATCTTAAAAATATAAATTTAATTAAAAAAATAATACATTAAAAATTTTATGATTCGATTATTTGAATATTTTTACCGATTATTTGAATATTTTTGCCGATTATTCACATAACAATGAATTTTAATCATCCATACAATACGGTAAGGTTCATAACGACATATCATTGAAACGACGTCGAGTAAAATAATTGATAATGGTTATTTTTTTAATATTTTGCTTTGAGTGAAAGATTCGAATTAAAATTAGTGAAAGTAAACTATATACGTTGTAAAATATAGATAACTTTATAATTCTTCGGATTTACGTAAAAGGTTATTTTAAATCGTGTGAGTACGCTTGCGCAAAGTTATTGCGGAATGATTAATGTGAAACGTTAAAAGGTATTTCTTAGATTTGGTTGACTATAGGTTTTAGTTTTTTAAATAGTTTTTATTATTATTATTATTATTCTTTCTTAAAATTAAAGTTTATTATAATGATTCAAACCTTAAATAAATTACAATGGTCTATAGGAAATTCAAAATGTATTAAAACGGAAAGTAAGTGAAGCGCGGTCTTTAGGTACGTTCACTTGATTGAAGTAAGTGCGGTTTACGTGACTGAGTTTGACGTCAATCACTTGGTAAAAACGGTTGGATTTAAAATGGTTTACTTTGGTTAAAACTAAATTAACAGGTCTCTTATGTAAATTCGAGTTTTCATTTCGATGTACAAGAGTCCTTTATATGTATCAGAAATTCAATAAAATTGTTATTTTAAAGATCATTATTCATTATTCGTAATAATGCTTTAAATCTTGTGGAGCTTAAAAGCTTTTTAAGTCCAAATTATAATTAAACGTACATAATGAGTGGCTTTGGGAAAGTCTCGTTGATACACATTCACTAGTAATGGCAACACAGATGAAAAGCTTAATATCCTGTCTGCACTGTAGACCGGTCTTCATAGCGCTTTGAAAGCGTTAATTTTCTTATCCTGCCACTAAATTAATTACAAATACTGCTAAAATGTTTGTATTAGGCCAGTGTGATTATGTCACATTTTATTTATTTAACATTATTTCACACTCACTATAAATAAACACTCACACCTGTCACCCAGAGGGGTAGGCAGAGACTACAGTCTTCCATTTAGCACGATCCTGACACACCTCTCTCGCCTCCTTCACATCCATATACCTACGCATACATGCTCGTCGGTTAAGGGTACTCTTAATTTGGCCCATTTTTAATATATCACCAATTTGGTCAACAAACTTTCGTCTAGAACGTCACTTTCCGACTCTTCCATTCACTTCTGCAACATTTATTTGCTTTGTCAGTCTTTCCTCATTCATTCTTTTTACATGACCAAACCGAAATTACCATTATTGCACACTATACAAAAATTACAGAAATTATATATATAATAGAAGTATGCAAAAGGTGGTCTAATTGCTAACAGCTATTTATTCTAGACAACCAATGAATGGACAGGATTGCACAAAGAAGATAAGAGTAGGGCAAATTGGTGTGATAGAAAAAAATACAATTACTACAAACATTTATACATAGAAAAAATTTAATATTTATATACAAAAATGTGAAAAAAATGTGGCAGCCTCGTACCGGTAGGCGTAGTGTAGGGCGACCCCCCACTAGATGGAGTGACGACCTGGTAAGACATGCAGGAAGTCGATGGATGCAGGTGGCTCAGGACCGTGCTTTGTGGCATTACTTGGGGGAGGCCTATGTTCAGCAGTGGACTTGTGAAGGTCTTTAATGATGATGATGATACAAAAATAGAACATTGTTGATAAACAATTTTTTAATCATTCATGTTAAGGAGAAATTAAGATTATCACACCTTATATTAGATTACACGGTAGAGCCATGCTACAGCTATAGTATGATTGTAAAACGAATGGGTCAGCTCGAACATGGAAGGAGCACGTTCTCGCAGAATACCAGCATCAAATAGCGGCTCAATGACGTGTTTCGTATGGTGAGTGTAGAGAACCGGAGACCCTTTTTACAGGAAACGAGGCATTCCATCTTAGTCCTCAGGGATGACAACGCATCTGCATTTTGATTCTTAATCATATTATCATCATCAGGTAAACTGTGTGCTCGTTTGCCACCTTTATTCAATAAAAAATACACACTTGTGTCGCTTCTCATAAGCGAAGGAACGAGATATAAAGGAAAAGTATCGTGGATATGAAATATGCTGTGTTTTACTTATAGGCCTGGTTATATTTATTTTAACGATGAGTATATCATATCGTAGAATGTTTAGTCATTTGGCTTAGCCGGGCATCAAACCGAGTGAAATGTGAAAAAAAGTAATGCCTATGTTCTGTGGTGACAATTAATATGGCCAATGATATGAATCAGATATTGACGATAATGTTATGCTGTTAATAAAAGAAAAACTATCAAATACATCACCATATTATCAGAAAAAAGTTAAAGAAAGTAAAAAATGCAATTTTAATAATTATTTAGTTTATATATTTCCTTTACGACGGGTGACAGCAAATTTAAAACATTATCTTCGAAAATTGCGAAATGTTTCAAAAGGCTCTTATATGACGCCCACGATTGTCTTTTAGCTTCCATTCATAATTCCCGAAAATGCAGTTTTATATGCAGTTACTCGTATAACAATGCCAAATTTCAATCATCTGCGTAAAATGGTTGTGAAATACAAACATAGACCGAAGTGATTTTGTAGTGATCTATTTTATAAATTTTGGAATAGAATACTAATGATGCAAATCAAAGCAAGCAAAGTCAAGGTAATAGTTAGTTTATTGAAAATGTTACATTGTTACATAATTGTTGTGTTTATTTAAGTTATGAATAACGGTTGATAAATGTTCCCAATTTCTTGATATACTCAGAGCACTTTCAGTTAGAAATCCGCGCAGCTTTGGCTTAGCAAATTCCGGCTTTAATTGAAAACACTTTTTATAACCTTTTCTTTTAATTGTTTAATGCTTCCAACTTCTCTCAACAGCTTGTCCACTTTGAATTCCACAACCAAAACCACAATGCGACAGTATTCATTATTGTCGCTTAATTAAAATGGTTTTATGTTAGCATATAAAATTTACGTAGATAAATAATGCGGGTAGAATTTTAATTGAAAGAGACCATAAAATCGAGCTTGATTACTACTAATCATAGAATTAATTGTATGAAAATTAGTGGACGTGTGCTCGGTGGATTTAATGCGTTCTATCTGAATGTAATTATAGGCGTCGATGAGCGTGAAATACTAAATAATTGGAATACGTAATCGGACAGATACTTAACCAAAATACGAAATGAATGTGTATATAAGTTATATTTTATTTAAATCTGCTTATTATAATAATTTTATTTGTGATAACTCTATGACTGTGAATCGTAGTAGCTCAGAGAGCCGGGAGCTAAACGCTCGCTGTAAGTTTCACAGTACGCGAGCAACTCAGGTTCGATACCCGCCGACACCAATAAAATTGTTAAATTTTAAGTACTGATTTACCACGTGGTCGGTGGTGAAGGAAAAAATCGTGAGGAAACTTGCATTTTTGAGAAATAAGAAAAAAATATT